TGCTATGTGGCAAAAAAAAATTAAAATTTTTTTTTCAACCTGAATTTAAAATAAATAAAAAATAAAAAAAAACCCCTTCCCCCACCCACCCCCTTCTCCCATCCATTATCACCCACCCCAAAATCCCACCCAAGCCACCCCTCTCTCTCATCCCCATCACCCACCCTCAAAAATCCCACCCGAGATTAGGTGGATCTACCACAAAACCATCCCAAACTCATCCCCATCTTAAACTCCCCAAGATGAATCTGCCACAAAACCACCCGAAATTAGGTGTCTCTATGAAAGTGAAATGTTTTGAAGATGTTGTAAGGAATTGAAATAGACCCCAAACATGAGGTATGAAAATGTAATTTACCCTAGATTTTATTTTTAATTTTTATAAGCAACCTATATCACAGGTTAATTATTTTTATGTATCTATATGACAGATTCTTTTTTATAATTAACGTGTCACAAATCAATGTGTCTTGCTTATAGGTATATTATGTTTTTTCCTACCTTTTAGTTAGGTTTCATATCTCGCTTACAGATATAATATATATTCATATATTTGTTACTTGAGTTAAGGTAGAATGTTTTGTAGATAATTTATGTTAGTATATTAGTTTTTGTTGTTGTAAGATATTAATTAAATTTTTTGGAGTTGAAAAATGCATAATATTAGAAGATTTTTAATTGATTTTTAATATTTTAAAAAAATATAAAATGAGTATAAAAGACATAAAAACATGTAATTAGATAATTGGACTCGCTCTTAAAAACCATCTATGTTTTTGGACCTAGATCTAAAAGCCCCTTAAATAATTGAAGCAGAAAGAATCTTTGTGCAAACGACAGCTGAACCTCATCAACTTTGCCTTTTTTGGTACTTTTTTTATTACGTACTTTTTAGGTGGTGATATGTACCCCCAAATTTATGCATTAAATACATTCCACACCATATAAAATCTTGGATAATTATTACTTTACTACCCTTAAGTTTCGCCAAAATCATACTTCATTACACTTAACTTTAATTTTTTTTTTTGTCACACTTTCATACCTAAAGTTTGATTTTTCTGCCATCCATTAGCCTAGTCATTAACTTTTCTATTAAATGATAACATGGCATGTTTTTGCTCCACTAATTTTTACTTACTACTCTCAATTATCTTGAAATTCGCATTTCGCTACCCTAGTTTTTTTCATCTCACTTTCATAACTAAAATTACGTTTACCACAGGAGACTAGTCGAAGATAACGAAGGATAAATAATGGGTTCATCTAATTATTTATCAAACTAAAAAGCAACTAATCTTCCATCCCAAATAATCCAACGACTATACTATTCAAAAAAGGAATAACATGCTTCAAACCATGCCACATTGAGGAAAGCAAGTACACTTCTTATTTTTTGTAAGATGCAAGAGAAACCGCTGATGAGCAAAAGAGCTCATAAAAATTCGTATCATAGAGAGTTCGGAAAGATAAACGGTTCAGATCGTTAAATATATTATAGAGTTGGCTCTACAAAGACATCTGTCAAAAGTTTTGTGAAAAAAAAAAAAAAAAGGATCCGCCCCTAATTATCTAAACCCGATGTGCTACAATTCTTCACATTCTCAAGAGTAGTCCCATATCAAAAAGTGAAGCAACTTTACAAAGGCATATGAGGAGTTGACTCACTTATTCTACTACCCATTTCTTAACATCCTTAGTGTTACCATCTTGTCATTAGAAATGTGAGGTATAATCAAAAGCTATCTAATTGTGTATTCTTCAATCTAGTGCATATAGGGATGTATCATATATGCGTTCATTTTTCTCTCTTCTTTGCTTTTAGTTTTAGCTTGAAAAAAACTCAATAGTAAGTACGTAATTGACTGTTGAGGCTTATAACAAGAAGACGTACAAAAATATAAAGAAAACCAATCTGCAGCTAAAGATCTTATGGATGAGCAAAAAGCAAGCCATTCTAGGACCTCGGCAAGACTCATACCCTAATTGTTTCCTTCGCTAAGGAGGATAATCCAATGTGGGCAACTGAGCTGTGGCCCTTTCTGGTTCAAACTTCTCGTAACCAATTGAAAGAAATGGAAGCAAATTTGCCACTATAGTTCGGTCGTGGGAATGGCATCAAGTCATAGTAATTTACCAAGATAGAGATTCTTCAGCCAATGAAGTTTTACTTTATCTCTCTGATGCCTTGAGACAAGTTGGTGCAGACGTTAGCCACCTTGTAGCTCCCCTCCTTCTGTTTCATCTTCATTAATCGACGAGGTTGAGAACATTCGAAATGACCAATGTAGAGTCTTCGTTGTGCATTTGTCTGCCCATTGGCGGTGCAATTATTCGATCAAAAAGGCAAAAGAAATGAAGATGATGGAAAAGGATTATTTATGGATCACCACTGATCCTATTACAAGCCTTGTCCAATCATTTAATGCCTCCACGGTCTCCTCAATGCCAGGGATCATCGGAGTCAAGTGCTACTTCCCCGAAAGCGGGAACCAGTTTATTTTGATCATAGGTTTCGAAGAAGGTTTAGCTCAGAAAATCCTGAAGATGGTAACATTGAGCCTGAAATGTTTGCAGCACAAGCTTATGAGGTTGCAAGGCAAGTGGCTCTAGCTGTGACAGAAATCACCAAAAGCAGGAAATTGTTGGCAAAACTTTTGCGCAGCAATTGTCATGGCATAAGTTGGGTTGAGATGAATCCACATGGGAGGAGAGAAATTTCATTGGTTTTATGGCATGAGCTTATAAGTAAGTTGAGCTACTCCTCGTATAGCCAATTGGTTTTATGGTGAAATCTCAACTTCCTTTATGGTACCCGAGCAAGTTGTCCCTATGAAGCAAAACGACCAAACGCGGTCCATGTTACCCCGATGTGTTGTTCATGCATATGTTAGGCTTGAAAGTTCGCTGCATGTAAGGGAGCGTGTTGAGAATGAATCCCACATTGATGATAGGAGAGACCTTCCATGAACTTATAAATAAATTGAACTACTCCCCATATAACCAATTAATTTTATGGTGAAACAGCAACTTTCTTCAAGTACAAGAATCAAGTTCACGACCAAAAATTAGCTCCACAATATGCTTTCAAATAAGCAATGTTAATGGAAAGAGTTACATAGAAGTTGGAAAAACTTTGGAATTGCATGTAAGATATTGACTTTGTAGCTAGTCACTTCAATTGATTAACAAGTCCAAATTGCATGCCATTATTATTTCATGCATGTTTAATTTCATGGAGTAATTAAGATCAATCAAACTTGACCTGCAGAAATTTGCTGCTGTGGTTGGTAATGTAGCAACAGTGTCCAGGAGATATGAGTATGCAGAATCCACGCACCCCTATACACAATCGGGATTGGTAATGATAGTTCCAATCAGATCCAAAACATAAAGCAAAGTGGCACCGATTCCATTTGATTTGTTCAATCTGATATCTATAAATAAATAGTGGTGTGTGAGAAACTGAAAATAGAAGAAATGGCAAGTGGTTTTCTCACCGATTCCATTTGATTTGTTCAATCCGATTCCATGCATCTCACAAGCAATGGCTTGAAAAAAAATTGAAATGGAAGAAAGGCTTGAACAAAACTGAAACGCAATGAAGCTGCCACGGTGATGATTTGCAATAACAAGAAGTGTGTTCGCCGTGGGGAGGATGAGGAGAAGATGATGAAAATAATAAAGCAAGCCATGTATTGGTTTTAAACTGTTTACTAGCAGAGGGATGGTTGTCCCTACACACTGCTCCTTATGCTTATGGAATTAATTTACTTCGGTTGGCTTTGGCCATTTCCTGCTGTACAATCTCATCGCCTGAGGTGAACAGTGCATATGATATGGCCTCAACACATTATTCTTATTCTCTACGTTCAGCAAGACCATGTATTCAAATTGTTTGTCGTGGAGAGATGGATACTAGAAACTTGGAACTCATGCCAACAATAGCTTGACGTCAAATCTCTCTTGCTGCGAGTGAAGTTGGTGCTATGATGCTATTGCACACAAAATTTCCCTTTCGAGCTCATGCCGTAGCAGTTGAAACCACCCTGTCTATTTCTAAAACTCAAGACTCATGCCGTTGCAGTTGAGACTTGAGAGAGGTCGTTCAATCTTCAAAGCATAAAATGTCGAACTTGTCTTCAGAACAAAATGTCGGACATGTCTTTAGAACAAAATGTCGAACATTTACCTTGACCAGTTTAACCTGTATTCATATGCATTGTGTTTGCTTAAGAGTTTGCAATTTAGTACCTGGTTGGATAAATTATTTATGGATTTCCAATAACTTAAAAATACAAATTAGACCTTATTTTCTACAACACCATCATTCCAAATGAAATTACTCTCTATTTGTTCTGTTAACCTTCATTTAAAATGCCCCTTATGTCCTTACATTTTGAAGGTTCACAATTATTATTATTTTTTTCTTGAACAAACGATATTATCTACACTAAGGAGAGGGGGTGGGCTTAACATCATAATGAACTCGAAATAATGTGATTCAAATTCGCCTTTTGCTATAATTGAACCTAACACCTTTCACTTACAAGTGAAGAGGAGTATCACTAGACCGTAGTACTAAGTGACAAGGTTCACAATTATGAAAAGAACGATAAGTAATTTGGCGTAGGTCGATGCTCATTTCTTTTTGTAACATGGGTCCGCAAAAAGGTTTACATACCACGTGCTAAATTTTCTTTGGTCTAATGGTTAGCAAGGGCTGCATGATTGATGTTTATAGCTATAGCATACTGATAAATGGCCATTGCAGGCCAAAAAGGGCAAATGAGGCCCAAATGCTTGTTAAGGAGATGTGTGATATGGAAGTTGTTCCAGATATAGTTACTTATAACACTCTTATGGATGACTTTTGCAAGATGGGGAGAATACAAGATGCTCATAACTTATTTCCTCAAATGCAAGCTTGGGGGCAACTTCCAAATGTTCAAACTTATAATATTTTAATGGATGGCCTTTGTTAAAACCAAGAACTCCCGATGGCATTGAAACTGTTTCAAGAGATGGTAGATAATAAGTTGGATCCAAATATGGTAAGTTACAATATTCTCATTGAAGGCTTGTTCATCGGTGGGAAAGTTGAATATGCAAGGGATATCTTCAGTGGTTTATCATCAAAAGGACTTCTACCCAATGTCAAGACTTACAATATAATGATCAGTGGATTTTGTAGTAGCGGGCTAACAACCGAAGCGGAGATGTTGCTTCAAGAAATGAAAGACAAGGGCTGTTCTCCAGATGGTTGCATCTATAACACCATTATCCGAGGGTTTTTCAACAACAATGAGACGTCAAGGGCGATGGGACTTATTCAACAAATGGTGGATATGGGCTTCTCTACGAATGCTTTTACCGCAAAATTGATAATTGATTTACTCTCTAAGGATGAAGTAGATCTAGCTTTGTTGCCATTGATAAGAAAAGAATTATGAAATCAATTTGCATCCGTGAGAATGAACTTTGGATGCTTTATATACCTTACAATTTCTCGAAGCATCTGCTGGTTTCGCACTTTACTGGAATGCTTTATTGTTTGCCAAAAGCATAATTTGCTTCGTCATCCTTGACTGCTTAGTCGATTGTGTGTCGTTGTATGCCCATTTTCCTGCATTTATGTTTTTACTACAACATTGGTAAGAAAGATTGTCAGTTGTATTTATCAAATGGAACTGACATTACATGAACTTGCATACTTGAATGCGACCTGCTGCTTGAGATTTTCGTCAAATATGTCTGCTGTTAGGCTGACTTATTGATAAGCCTGTTAGCTGGGTCCTTTGGTTATATGTATGAAGGGAAAAGTTTGACCACACCGACGATTTTGCACAATGTACGTATAAGGACTGTGAATTTTAAAACATACATTTCGGCAGAGAAATAGAATGCTGGATTCTGGCATTACACGGAGGTTGGATCACGATGATCATCAGTCCTGCTCAATTGCTTTTCACAGCAGCAGAACTTTGAATTTCAAATTCTATTTTTTTTTTTGACAATGAAACTTTCAACTTGCAGCTTACAGACACTCCGGTTAGAAGATGCGACTATGGATAGACGTTCAGGATCGAAGGGATAGAGGAAGACCTAGGAAAACTTTGGAAGAGACTCTAAGAAAAGACTTGGAGTACTTGGATCTAACGGAGGACATAACACATAACCGAGCGCAATGGTGTTTTAGGATTCATATAACCGACCCCACTTAATGAGAAAAGACTTTGTTTTTGTTGTTGTTGTTGTTGTAGTTGTAACTTTCAACTTGCAACTTCTTTAAGTTACCGCTTTACTTATGTAAGTTCAAAGCTCTGTGTTCAAGCTTTGTTTTCATTTTCGACACATTTTTTTCGTATCCCTTCCACCATTCTTGCTCCATGCTTCTTCACTCATCCTCCCTCCCAAATAATTCCCTCTATTTTAATTTCCCTCACGTTTTGTTGATGAAATGCATCATCACCAGTAGTGCAGTTTAACGGCATGGCAAACACTTGCATAATTTATTGGGTAGCTTTACGTACATGCCGGTTTTAGGTTTCGTTTGAGATTGCTTCTTCATAAACGCTTATGTAAGAAGTTTTTATGTCCTTGACAAGTTAAAAATTTTACTAAAAAATTTAAGCGTTCCTTCACAAATGTTTCTTTAAAAAGTGTTTTCGTGACCCATAAGAAATTTAAATTTTTTTTACCAAATGTTGTAAAAAACGCTTTTAATTATAAAAAAAATACACTTTTAGCCCATTTAGAAACAGTTTTTATATCTGGAAAAATGTGTGAATCATGCTATATTCTCGTACTTTAGCTCGTGTAATGTGATATAGGGTTGGTCTTTACTTTTGTTGATCCATTTTCCGGCATCGACAATGCAGAAATATTATATATATTATTATTTTTTGAACAAGAAAATGCAGAAATATTAAAAAACAAAAAAAAAACTAGAGTTATCCCACGAAACAGATGAAATGAGTGGAGATTCGAAGATACATTAAAGCAACACAACCATTTGTGTTTCATCGTTTGGAGAAGGAAATCCACAAATTTAGGATCCTGGGAGAACAACAAAAAAGTCAGAACATCAGAACATGCATTGGTATGGCAATTAATGCCATGTTTTTGTAAGGGAAGCTTTGGTGTGACTGCTCATCCATTCCTAATGAGTGTATTTTTGCTCACCATCATTTAGTATGATGTATGCTCACCATCCTATTTATCATCGTTAGATGAATTTGAATGTTGATATTTGTGCTTTTCTACTACACAAATTTCGAAATTCAAACTCATCGGTGATAAATAGAGTGGTGAACATACACCACACTAAATAATAGTAAGCAAAAATGCTCCCATTCCTAATTCATTCACAACTTTTGCTGACTCACTCCTCTGCTGGCATTTTCGTCCAGTCGTTTTATATTAGTTTAAAATAAAAATTATTTTTAAAAGGAGGTTGGGTTCAAAGAATGTAGATAATCATATAACATTGTTACGTATATTTCATATTTGTATGTATATGTGTACAGAAAAAGACCCTTATTTATAAAAATTTCGCATAAATGATCCATATTGGATTATCTCTCTGTAACAATAAGGCTAAGGTCAAAAGCTATATGTATCTCTAGTAGGACCATTACACTATATATTCTTGAAAATGTAGGCTAGCTTGGTGAAGTCACCGACTCATTTTTAAAAGAAAAAAAAAAGAATCTTATTGGGTGGATAAAATTTAAATGTATAAAAAGATGAATAGAAGAATTAAGTACGTTAATTAATACAAATTGAAAATACAAATTAAAAGATATGTTAATAATAAAAAATAAACATATTAATCAATATTTGAATAATAATCAAATCGTTAACAATTACATATAATATTTAATTTTAAAATTTGGTCTCCTCCAACGTTCCTTAGGCCACGTCAAAGTTGGTAGTTAAATCGAAATATAAGGGCGTTATGCGGAAATAACCCATCATCCAAACAAGCCCTTCTCCCTCTCTCTCTCTCACCCCTAAAAAGCACCCCCTCTTATTGTGTGTGTCTCTCTCTCTATCTCTCGCTGCGTTGCGATCCTCACACCACAATCTCATCCTCACAGATTCGTCCTCTTCTTCTCGATCCCCAACTGTAAGTCTCCTCTCTCTGCTCGCTCTTTCTCTCTCTTCTCTAACCCTAACCTCCCTCCGATCATCATTCCGTCCAATCTCCCAGATCCCTAATTGTTTTAATCATTTTATGTAAAATGGATTAAGTTTGAAATGAGTTTGTTTGGTTATTCCATCGGTGGCTGAGGCCGTCTGATTGACCCCTATTTGCATCCTTGTCTTCGGTTCCTTCTGTTGCATGTCAACGATTAGGTTTTAAATTGTGTATTTTAGTTTAATTTTGATGATTATTATCCCCTTTTTATTAATATTTTTCTAATTATGTTTTTTTTGTTGTAATTGGTGCTCGATTTTGATCTGCTTTGCCGTAGATTTTGATCTGATTTGAGTTTCAGGATCGATTTGAATTTTGAGTTTGTTAATGTTAAAATGGCGCTAGATGGACTAATCGGGTTGTAGGGTTTCAGTGTGGGGATTTGGCAGACTGTTGCGAGCTCAATTTTACTGGTCTGGTTTACTGTGATTGGGATTTTTCTAGGGTTTTTCCAGTTTTCTGATTTTGTTTGAAGTAATTGCCACTCGTATATGACTGTTTCCGTAATGTGAATGCAGTTAAATGAACGATTGAGTGAATCATTTACCATGATGCAAATAATCTTGCTGTTAAATGAAATATAGGTGACTTTGAGCTGCTACATTCAACGGTTGCTTCATTTTGCATTGTGTTTGGTGTCGAGTCCTTCTCTGTTAGCTTCCTCATTGTCATATTTAACATATCTTCTGTTTAATCGTTTCTTGCATTTAAGCATTTGAATTTGTTTGCAATTTCTGATGTGTATTTTACTTCTTATTTGTGAGCACATACCCACTAAGATACGCCGTTGCTATATAGTTGCATTGAGTCTTGTGCATTTTTTTTACCTACTAACACTTTTTTTTGAAATGTTTTTAAGGTAATCATGAGTGACCAGGGAGAAAAGACTTGCCCTCTTTGCGCGGAGGAGATGGATTTGACAGATCAGCAATTGAAGCCATGCAAATGTGGTTATGAGGTATGGGATACTTACCCTCTATCTCTGTCTCAATCTCTCGAGGGGTTGGTCCGGTTGGAGGGAGGTTTGGTGGATACTTGTTCTCCTTTTCTCTGGATAGTGCCTTTGCTGAATTTTGAACGGCATCATTACTCATTGTCATTTGACTTTTCACGTCTGATGGACTATTTATAGATAAGCTTTTGAAATTCTAATCTATTTGGTTATGTAACATATCTGATGCACCGTTCAAGTTATTTGGGAACTATTTACAGTTAACTAGTTGTGACCTCTTTCCTAAACATATTATAAACAGCTCCATGTTAGTTATCAGTTCTGAAGTATAGTGGCAAGATGATGGAATTTTATAAGATAACTCCTGAACCTGGTGAGGCAAAGCACTATTGAGTCTCTTTACTGTTGACCATTAATACTACTGAAAAACATTTGACCCCACTAGATTGGGTCCAGGTTCTTCAGTGTAAATTCTGTTATGACAACTTTAGTATTATACTGTTTTTTTTTTATATTTGGATTGGTTCACAAATTGTGATATGCTTCTGTAGAAACTTTCTCTGGGATCTTTGTTGGTCCCTCCTTTCCAAACTTAAGAAGTGTTCTTTGTTGTTTCGTGGCTTTAGTTGAGGAAGTTCTAGTAATGTGATTGCTCCTGTATATGCACTGAACCCTTCATCTTGATTCAGTGATATTTGAAACTCTTTTTCCAGCTGATGGAGAAATACTTAGAACCTTTTTCTTTTGCTAAAGTTAATCTTTCACAATTTGTTTGTTGGGATGGATAGACAGGAGAGAACATTACAGAAGATAAGGGGATGAAATTACTTGTTTGATGGAAAGGGATGAAAGAACAAAAGTATAATTCTCTTATGTAATTTTCTTGAGTAGTTGAATTGAGTACAGCGTTAAAGTATCAAACTTTGCTTTTTGCCACCCTCCTCATTTCCTTTCAAAGTTGAACAAATTTGGTTTTTTGAGGGTTCATTTCGCCTTACTTGTATGACTGTATCTGGGTCAGTGTGTGTTATTATTATTAATATTATTTATTCTGAAGCCCTGAACCTTTCCAAATGCATGCCATTGCTATTTTGGATGATACCTTCCTCCCCTGCGCTTCGCTTCTATAGAATCTTAATTCGAAATGCATGTTTGAATTTATTAATTGTGAATCTTTGTTTTTGTTTGTTTGTGCAATTTGAGAGCTGAAAGTTTTGCACGGATTGTATTGTCGCGATTGCCTAATTTAGAAACTTTTAACTTGATCACAGATATGTGTTTGGTGTTGGCACCACATA